AGTGAGGAGTCAAGCACCTGTATTGATTTGCTTGGTGATGATGACTTTCTCTCGCAAAAACAACAGTCAAGTAATGCTGAGTAGTTTCTTGCCAATCTTTTTAGATTGTATTATTTTACCATCATCCACTGCTATACACTGCCTTAGAAAATAACTTTAAACAAGTGTTGCATTAACCAAACAATACCAGCAGCACTGCAACCATATCTGGAAGCCAGGTGATGGGGGAGTACTTTGCATTTACACAAAATATTTGTGTTCCCTCTATTCAACTACTACCCGTTAAAATATAAACAGAAATATACGTTCTCGTGGTGTAAAGTAACATTGTCAAATTCACATTCTCTTAAAAGGTACATGTATTCATAGGCAAGAAAGACAGAAGAAGAAGACAGAATAGACAGATTTTGGTTCTATAATGAAGCTAGTTTGCATATACGGTGCTTACGTGTATGTCCTTTGGTGCAATCGTAGCAACCCTAAGGAAACCTAAGTTTACTCAGTAACTTTCTGCTCTAATTCAACACAATTGCATCAGGTGATATCATTACTTTTAAAAAAATAATGATGAACATACTGTTCATTAAAAATTGCATTATGTTAACTTCATAGACTACAGTTTTCTCTACCAAGGGATAGTACCCCGGGTGGTTGTGATATCTTTGTACTAACATTCCTGTTTATTGTACACAGCCACAAATGATCTACTTTCATCATTTGAGAGTTCCTCAAGAAGCAATGGTCATACTGGAACTTCACTTATGCCACCCAGCTATGAAGCAGCAACGAAAATCCCTACAGCAGGTAAGATGGCTGGATATTGGCCAAGTTCATTTTGTTTGTGTGTGTACTTTTATGGACTAATATAAATAGGACGTTTAAAAAAAAACAATGGAATGCAGCCGGTATTCTTCCATCTTGGTCAGTAAGGGATTTATCTCGTGGCCTTAGAAACAAATGTTTTCTTGTGGGAACAAAGAGGGAAATCCCGAAAGAGCATGGTGGGGCTATTTTGCCTTTTTCGGCAAAATAGGAGCCAAACGGAGCCAAAGTGTCAGAAATGAGGTTATCATTAATTTTTTTGCCACAGAAAGTTCTTAGAATGGAATGTCCACTACTCACCACTTGTTCAAGTCATAAAAATCTAAGACTTCAGTGGTACAAGTCGTTAAGTTGTGCGATTGGTTCAAGTAGTGAATGTGATACGTTTGAGTGAAATGAACCGAGGTACATTGGCTGCATCTGATTAGACAAGTGTAGAGAGGGGTTCTTGTCAAGTGGTGCGACTCGCACGCGACTTGTATGAGTCGTAGTGGTGAAATAGCATCTCATTAGAGACACTAGAAATGGAGAGCAGAGTTGTCGAACTATAAGCATCCTACACGACAAACGTTTGATGTATGAAACTGCAAAATGGCTCAAAATATACGATCACACAAAAAGTCTAGTTAGCAAATGAACAAGAACGTATGCACCAGAATATCCCTCGTTCTATAACTAATGATTACCCCAAACGATAAAATTCCAATGCATAACTCCTAAGAGTCGTATCACTAACAGGGCCCATTCACGACAACTTTGCTCACAAAATAAATACTTCTCAGTTTCGCTAATGAGATGCAATTTCACCAGTTTCACGACTCGTACCAGTCGAAACACTTGACAGGGTCCCCTCTCAACAACTTTGCTCACAACAAGTTCTATTAAACAGACCCTATTTTATCCTCAAGACTTTGTAATTGTAGGCTTCATGTAAGCACCTAGTACATTTCAGACCACAGTTACAGCTGAAGTAGTTTGAAGTTTACATTAATTTTTGTTAAGTGTATTCACTTTCCTCGCTTTTCTTCAACAGAGATTCGTAATCACTGGTTTTATATTGGATAACACCAATAATTATTATTAGAGCTTTTCATTTACCTTTTGTAGTTTATACGAGGGTTGTTCAATACTCACTACCTGTTCAAGTCATGAAAGTTCGTGTTGTTTCAATTTGTAGCAAGGTTACTTTTAATCACCTTTTAAGCCGTAACTTTTAGTAGCTAACACATAGGCCTTAATGTATATGTACTGAACCTAAAAGATTAACTGAATTGATTGCCTTTTTTCGTCTATCCAGGTGTTGACCATCCTTCGTCGATGACAGCTGATGACTTGTTGTTTGGCTCCCCTACCAGGGAGGATAGGGGAACAGAAGACAAGTCAGACCTGGATATCTTAAACGAGATCCTTGGTGCCACTGGAGGGTCTGGCGGACAGGGCACTGCAGAAAGTGATAACAGCTTCAGTAAAACATGGAAGGACATGTTTGGGGATGAGCCTCTTGAAAGTACACGACAACCACAGGAGCCCAGCCAGTCATGGTCACAAGGAGGGACTAATTTCATGATGCCATCTGATCTTCTTAATAGCATGGCTAATTTTGATCCATTTAGTCAGTTGCCTGCCTCAACTCAGCCAGGCACTAGTCAAGCGCCAACCACGTTAGGTCTCCTCAAACAGCCTCAGCTCCCCAAGAATCTGTGGCAGGGTAATCAAGTAACTTCAGAGTCAAAGCAGATACCTTCACTGCCAGGGAAGAGTAAGGAGAAGAGCAAAGGGAAAAAGGGCTCAGATATGTCTGCTTGGTTCAGTCTGTTTTCTGATCTTGATCCTTTGGCCAATCCCGATGCTATTGACCAACAGAACAAGAAAAGTGAAGAGGATAGACAATGCTGAATAAGGAATTACTCTTTAAAGAGTTACCAATTGAAAATTGTTAAGAATATCAAATTGTTCCACGAATTCATTGAAAAAGAACAATGTGGTCCACGAGAGGGGTTGAAGCTGAGTTTATGGAAATCTAGTGGCACCTACTAAATTCACATATATATATATTTTTTTTTTTCAAATCTGCTCATCTCATGCATCCTTTAATAACGACAAGTCTACATTAGGCATCATCATGTTATATTGTGGGGCAGGTCTGGCTACTTCTTTATTGTGGGTAGCTCTTTCTCACTACATACATCTTGCCACTTGGGGCATGTTCCCTTTAGCGTGATTCTACCGCTAAGTAACTTTCGTTTTTGTTGCCAGAATGTAAGGGTTTCAAAAACTACATGTACATTTATTATTTGGCTGAATCCTCGAGCGGCTAAGATATGCCTATCTTCTCCACTCGGAATTTTCCGCGTTGCTCCCGCCTGAAAACATTCTCTGTTTAGCCATATAATAAATCCTTTATTGGCCAAGTTTGTTCGGTCAATGTGGCTGTATATTGGCCAAGTTTTTTTTGGCCTTGTGTCTCGAATACGATCATCGAGATCGTTCAGATCGGTTAACCTCTTTTCACAAATCAGGAATGGAATTCAAGCTTAACTTAATGACATTTCTGTGTTGTAGTCTGTAGAGTGTTGTTTGTCATTGGTCGTATCGACTTTCGTGCGGGCGAAACGCCTTTGGGCGAATCGACCACAAGTCTCGGTTAATGAAAGCATACTTATAAAAAATGGCCAATATACAGCCATCTTGTCCTCTCGCTTGGTTAATAACGCATATATATTTCAAGGTTGCCTTTATGGACTCAAAAGTTGCAACAGAATTGTAGTTTGCATTGTAAAAGTAAAATGGTAAAATTATCTTGGAGAACTTCGCCTTTTCGGCGGGGGGTGGGGGGATGGCTTAACGCCTTGCATTGTGTAAGAATTTATTTTACCTTATGATAGGATATTGGGATAAACCTGTCTATGATGTTCAATGGTTTTAAGGCAGCAGCTGAATGTTAGGGCGCTGTCCATTTGTCAAAACTGGCCAACCGAACCAGTTATTTTGACAATGAAATCGGCTTTTTCCAAGGGTTTTTGTTGAAGAACCATCTCCTTCATACACACTATTTGGGATTTGACTGATTTAGCGGGATAGTTTTGATTAATAGTGAAATTCTCATTACGAAAGGGAAGGGTCTGGCCGGTCAGTTCTGACAAATGGAAAGCGCCCCCTTAGATTCACTTAAGGTAAGCCGTAGGTGTAGTTACGTTCAGTGTATATCAACAGGGTGTAAATTGCTATGGCCGTTATTTTAAGTTATTTAGGAATAAATTATTGCAGAGTTGTTTATAAATTCTGTTTCAGAAACACAGGATGTTGAGAAAATTTGAAAGCAGTTGAATGTTCTGGTTTTAGAACACCATGCTTCCTTTACATACACACAAGAACGTCCATGTAACAAACCTTTACATAACCATAGTTATTAAAGGAGACGAATCGAATCGAATCTATCAACTATGATATAACGAACGACATTCTTCGCCCCCTGTTTCAGTAATATAAATTATATGGGAACGACCCTCAATTAGTTCGACGTCTGACCCAACAGACGAACTTTAAAATTAAGGTCTACCCAAATTACAATTTGGTTCCTCTCATGAAAAGTTCGACTTTTAGCGTTGGCCTGAGTTAGAAAAACAACGCAGAGTAAGTCAAAAAAAGATCCATTGAATATGGAACGAAACGAACCGCTAATGATTTAAGCACGCGCCCATAACGTTGATGAAAGTGCAGTTAATGCGTTCAGTTTCATCCATTATTTAGGTTACAAACTATTGTAGGACTCCAAAAGGACTTGTTAATGAGGACACTTGTAAATGTTTCAGTACTTGATGAACTTTATTATTTTGTTTAACTTATGTTTCTTACCGAAGAATTAAGGGTCATTGTTATCAGTCTAATTTAAATAAACAAATGCAAAGTATTGATTGCTTCTGTCTTAACATACGTATCCTAGAATTTACTCTTTACCCCTAAAAAAGCCTGATAATTGATAGGCCACTGCTACCGTCAAACTCAGAAAACTGTGAACACCTGAAAAAATTCAGGAATGTTGATTTATGTACTGGCCAATCACAATAAAGTTCAGGATGCGCATGCAAACCTCAAATCCACAAACTAATCAGTTGCCGTTGCTGTTTGCGGTTTAAGGGGTGTTTACATGACAACGCGGCGTCTTTCGCGCCGGAGCGAGTTCACTCCGGTTCCCTCTCATGGCTCTACATTTGTTTACATGATATCATCACAAAATGTCATGCCAGGAGGAGTCACCCTGGCTTGGGTTCACCCCGGTTCTTGTACCGGGGCAAGAATTTCACTCCGGTACGAAATCTCGCAACGGTATCAAGTTAACGCGAAACGACCACACGTTTTGCGCGGTTAATCGGTGTGCCGGTAGACTGGAATGGGTAGCGCGTGCGTAATGTTTGCGATTTGGAATCTTTCGTGTATTTTATCAACATGAAGTGTACCTCTAAGTAACTAGTTTGCGTATTTGGCGGTACTGTGTAGTAGTCGAGTGAGATTTGGCGGCGGAGCCGTTGTAATGTAGTCGACCGCCTCGTCCCTACTCCCTTTTTTTGGAACACGGCTCCGCCGCCAAAACTTTAATCACGCACCCACACAATACCGCCAGTTACGCAGGCTACTAAGTAACGAGATATGAAATGACCCAGTCATCATGTAAACGCGATACGAAATTAAAAAAAGTCATCCCGGTATGAAACTCGCGCCGGTGCGAGTTTTCTCATGTAAACACCCCCTTAGTTATCTCGCACCTTATTGGCTCATTTCTCCCAACACAATAACATTCCATAAAGATTTCTGGTGTTCACGGTTTTGTGAGTTTCACGGTAAGGGGGGTTACCTGCAATGGGATTTACATGTCACGACACTCCATAGCCCCTGAGCATTGCCGCGGTCAATCGACGAGTCGGCGAGGGGGAGTGGGGAAGAAATTTGAATTCGCTTTCATCGGACTGAAAGACGCGTAAATCTGGAGACATTTCGTGGTAGCCTGTACATGATACCATATCGTCGTTCGTAGACTGTGAGCTATTATTATTATTAGTAGTAGTAGTAGTAGCAGTAGTGTTCTTAATATTATTGTTATAAATATAGATTTATTCCTTGTCAGGCGAAAGTGGACAAGGAACATGTGATGCATATTTTACCTTTTTTCTATAAAGGAGACTTACCTTTGATGTATTCTGTTCGTATGAATTCACACCAAAAAACACAGGAATACATCAAACGTAAGTATCCTTTTATTTATGATATAGAAAAAATGTTATGATATAATGATATCTAGCGTACACAGACCTCAGTATTTTATTTCTGGGGATCATTTCTCATACAAAGTTTCAACGGTCGCCTGTAACGCGGGACCAACTCTATTGTGAGAAAGTAAAAGTAAATTTACCTTCCACACTCGTGACGTGGGCTTGGGACACACGTGATGATCACTCATCAGTGCAATAAAATCAATTGTTTTAAGTGATCCAATATACTTGCTTAAATAAATAACGCGTAGAAACCAGAGAAACGCGGAGTACCTGTTAAGGGCGGAAGTAAAGCGTCATTCCGCTTCTCGAAAATGAAATCCTTTTGTCTTACATGACGCCCTTGTACCGAACCGGATATTGATTAAATTGTTAAGTTGTTTCGTCTGCAATGATAATAACTATGAATCACCACCAGTTGAGCTAGGAAGCAGACAAACTTAGAACTAACTCAGCGACCAACATTGAATATTGTGCTACACATAAGAGAGAATTAAGCCCGTACCAAACAATGATTTTTGGTCTCCTAATTGTAACCAGGCAAGGGTATACAAAACTTCTCGCTTATATCGCCTGTTTTTGCACGCTTTAAAATTTCTGTTTTGAAACCTTTTACACAATCCGACAAAAGTGCATGTGGGCGGAAAATTTAAGCCTGATCTCACAGCTATGTTAAGCATGTTGTAGGAGGCAAACAAGCGCGTCACTGGCACTGCGGAAAACGCACGCACACGATGTGAAGGTGAAGGCCCATCTTAGTTTAATAAGCGATGATCACATTCATGACATGCATTTCCAAATTAGATGCGCAAATGATTCAGGGAATGTTGCCATTTTACTTTCATGAACTTCCCACGCTTTTCCAAGAAAGAAAGGACGACTAAATCAAGGAAATATAAGAAAGAGCATAAGTTCATAAAGCGTAATTTTAGCAAGGTTTAACCAATAGTTTACTCCAGGTTGACTGACGCACGTGGAGTTCTGAACGAGATGGAGAGAAATGTATTAATTTGCAAAGCCCTGCTTCTGATTTTCCTCACCAGTGTGGCGGCTGCTATGGTGATCAATCCAAAAAGTAAGTAACAGACATCTTTTGAAAAAACTTGCTCCTTACTGGTCCTTCCATATGGCCGGATGCTTGAACAAAATTGCAGTATTCAATTTATAATGAGAAAATATAATGAGAAAGAGGAAAAAAGGAAGATATATAATGTACGCAATTAAGAAGGCAATTTATTGTATTGGTTTAAAAAGTAAGAATTTTTTTTCCAAAAAGACCGAAGAAGACGAAGCTGAAGTACTCTTAACATCAGCAGGCAAAGAGTTCAATATTTAAGGACCTGGTGTGGTACTCATGTGAATCACTACTTTGAGGGTGCCAATGGGTCTACTTTACGGAACGTTGGGTGGAAAGACGAAGGAACGGAGAGGAAAGAAGTCCGTGAGAACAAGAAAACAGATTTGGCAATATGAAAAGTATTAATTTTGTTGATAGTGAGTAAGTTAAGGTGAGCGAAGAGGGAGGCAGAGTGAGCTCGGAAGGGAGCTTTACTGATGGCACGCACCACGCTTTTTTGGATAAAACATGAAGTTGAAGACTAGGTAATGAGAGATCAAGGAATAATAAAGTTTTGGTTGGAAGGTAGAAGCGATAACGAAAAATCAATATTCAACGATATTTTCAGTACACAGTCACAATTTAAATGAAACATTGAATTAACACCATAACATTACAGTGATCGAGTGATCTCTAAGGTTTCTGTCAACAGCTTTGTACGATGATATAGGAAAATGATACGTACTGATGATGATATATTAGTGACTGAACCTACGCCTTTGACTCCTATGCAAGTTACCGAAGCTGTAAAGGCAATAACAGATTTTGCAATTACGTTGGAAGATTCAGGCGAACGAGAGAGAGAATTTCTTTCCTATCTTTCGGCCATGGAGGACGCGTGTAAGCTTTGAAAACTTCCAGTGCTGTGCTAACTGTTCAAGGACATTGCTGCATGATTGAAATGCTACATTTGTGGATCATTTGATCACAAATTTAATTAAATAGTATACAATAAAAATTGATGTTAGGTTTACCCCCGATATAACGATATTTTCGTTTTTTTTTTTTGGCCATGAGTTTCGATATGTTGATTCCGCGATTAGGCCCGATTACGAGCCGCTGTTTGGGAAAATGAGCCCGAAATCGAGCCTATTCCTCGATATAGCGATATAATTTTATTGTTCCTTAGCATACCGTTATATCAGGGTTCCACTGTAGTTGAATTAAACGATAAACATCAGGATACGAGCAAAATATTCTGGTGTCGTCCTCAAATAATAACGTTTCAGCTAAGGGGAAACATTTAGAACATATTTTGATATAAACCAAGGAAAAAAGCTTTCTCTAGATCGATCCTTGAGTGAATGTGAATGAATGTCTTTATTAGTTTTCCACTAAATGGGTTTTAAAACTAATTACAATCAATACTAAATACATTAAAATTAAAAATCTAAAATTCTAATAGATGTTAAAATATATCACATTACTAATTAAAAACTACTGAGAAATTCCTTTAAATGTCTCTTGAAGATTGGCAATAAAGTAAGTAACAGACATCTTTTGAAAAAACTTGCTCCTTACTGGTCCTTCCATATGGCCGGATGCTTGAACAAAATTGCAGTATTCAATTTATAATGAGAAACTATAATGAGAAAGAGGAAAAAAGGAAGATATATAATGTACGCAATTAAGAAGGCAATTTATTGTATTGGTTTAAAAAGTAAGAATTTTTTTCCAAAAAGACCGAAGAGACGAAGCTGAAGTACTCTTAACATCAGCGGGCAAAGAGTTCCATATTTAAGGACCGTTCTGGTGTGGTACTCATGTGAATCACTACTTTGAGGGTGCCAATGGGTCTACTTTACGGAACGTTGGGTGGAAAGACGAAGGAACGGAGAGGAAAGAAGTCTGTGAGAACACAAGAAAACAGATTTGGCAATATGAAAAGTATTAATTTTGTTGATAGTGAGTAAGTTAAGGTGAGCGAAGAGGGAGGCAGAGTGAGCTCGGAAGGGAGCTTTACTGATTGCACGCACCACGCTTTTTTGGATAAAACATGAAGTTGAAGACTAGGTAATGAGAGATCAAGGAATAATAAAGTTTTGGTGGGAAGGTAGAAGCGATAACGAAAAATCAATATTCCATCAGACTTTTAAAAAATCTTTATTGCAAATATGGCTGATATGAGGTTTCCAAGAAAGATTTCCATCACTAAAAATGCCCAAGAATTTTACGGCGCGTGCTTGACACTGGCAGCTGCAATCAAAAGGTATTGATATACCTGTCAGATTTATTCTCTTATTTGCTTAGGTCTGATAAAATAAGATTTATTTGGATTAAGAGACAATTTGTTGGATTCCATTCACTGGCCAAGTTTAACTTATTTAAGATTCATACAGTGGAACCCCGATATAACGATCCTCGGTATAATGATGTTCCCTGTATAACGATGAATAATGTCCCAGCAAAAGTTACAGTAAAATGTATGTGAGAGAACCCCGATGTAACGATCTTCGATATAACGTTATTTATATCACGATGAGAATTTAGCGGACCGAACGTAAAATAGTTCCCTATATAACGATATTTTCAGTACACAGTCACAATGTAAATGAAACATTGAATTTAACACCATAACATTACAGTGATCGAGTGATCTCTAACGTTTCTGTCAACAGCTTTGTACGGTGTGTATAGGAAAATGATACGTACTGATGATGATATATCAGTGACTGAACCTACGCCTTTGACTCCTATGCAAGCTACCGAAGCTGTAAAGGCAATAACAGATTATGCAATTACGTTGGAAGATTCAGGCGAACGAGAGAGAGAATTTCTTTCCTATCTTTCGGCCATGGAGGACGCGTGTAAGCTTTGAAAACTTCCAGTGCTGTGCTAACTGTTCAAGGACATTGCTGCATGACTGAAATGCTACATTTGTGAATCATTTGATCACAAATTTAATTAAATAATATACAATAAAAATAGATGTTAGGTTTACCCCCGATATAACGATATTTTCGTTTTTTTTTTCGGCCATGAGTTTCGATATGTTGATTCCGCGATTAGGCCCGATTACGAGCCGCTGTCCGGGAAAATGAGCCCGAAATCGAGCCTTTTCCTCGATATAGCGATATAATTTTATTGTTCCTTAGCATACCGTTATATCGGGGTTCCACTGTAGTTGAATTAAACGATAAACATCAGGATACGAGCAAAATATTCTGGTGTCGTCCTCAAATAATAACGTTTCAGCTAAGGGGAAACATTTAGAACATATTTTGATATAAAACAAGGAAAAAAGCTTTCTCTAGATCGATCCTTGAGTGAATGTGAATGAATGTGTTTATTAGTTTTCCACTAAATGGGTTTTAAAAACTAATTACAATCAATACTAAATACATTAAAATTAAAAATCTAAAATTCTAATAGATGTTAAAATATATCACATTACTAATTAAAAACTACTGAGAAATTCCTTTAAATGTCTCTTGAAGATTGGCAAATTATCACATCCTCTTATTTCACATGGAAGAGAATTCCAGAAACTCGTTGCACGGTATAAAAATGTGCGTTGCCCAGAAGCTGACTTATAAGCTGGGATATTCAAGTTATTCTTACATCTAGTATTACGGTCATGAACGCAACCACGTGTCTTAAATCTATGACAAACGTAGCTAGGGGCTAACCCCTTAACACATTTAAATGCTAAAACTCCAAGTGTATATTTAAGAAAACTGGTCACGGGGAGCCACCTTAGCTCTCTTAATGCCGGTGTTATATGATCAAATTTCCGCTTTCCAGTGATAATTCTACAAGCAAAATTCTGAACTTTCTGCAGCTTCGAGATATTTTTCTTTGAAGTATTAGACCACACCGGAGAACAGTAGTATAACTGGCTAAACACTAAGGAATTTATAACCCGTTCTAATGTCCTAGCATCAAACAGATCCTTTACCCTGTTAATCTGACATAAGCTACCTATGCACGAGGACACTGTTTGGGTGACATGTTCATCATAGCTTAGAGTGCTGTCCACCTGCAGGCCAAGGTCCCGAGCAGAAGGAGATGGAGTGACCTTCTTTCCAAGGAGGGTGACATGAAAATCAGCGGGCAGCCTCTGAAGCATCTGACGTGTGCCCAACACCAGCAGCTTGGTTTTCTCTGGGTTTATGAGAAGGCTGTTGTAGCAGCACCAGCTTGCGATTTTTTCTAAGTCCTTATTGATCTGTTGAATCATATTGCTAGCCTCAGCAACTGGGAACGAAAGGTATAGCTTTGAATCATCGACATGTGATTCTAGAGAACACACGTCCGGCACGCCAGACTTGACGATCTGGTAAGAAGAAAGTTTACTTTTATCCTTAAAATCCATTTGAGGGAAGTTCCTCCCATCCCACGAAAGCTGATGAAATTGCGTATCTAAAAAACACAGTTTGTGATCTCGCTACCATCAATGCAACATGCTTTCCGTTAATTAGGTGGATAAGTGTCTGGCAAGCCTGCGGAGCTGAAAGCGCGAAACCAACGGAAAGGATTGCTGCCTAGTGCACGGTTGGTGGAATGATTTTTGCGAAAGCCGAACCGTGAAGACAATAAAAGGCTTTCAAAGGTGTCTATGCCCTGATATCCCCTTCGTGATGCCACTTGTGTAGGATTTTATGTTCTTTCCTTGTCCATTTCAGAAAAAATTTCAAATCTGCCGTTCATCGAAAGCTTTGGTCTTCAAGGAAAAATCATACCCTACATTGGAAGTAAAGTTAATCTGACTTGCAAAATGAAACATGCGGAGGCGGGTATTTTCCTCAAGGCAGGACTCGCTATAAGGGAGGGAGGACGATTCAGGTACATATTTGAAGACAGTGGGCATGATGGGCTTGTGGCTCATCTTGAAATTACAGATGTCTCCAAGGAAGATGAAGGTGTTTTTACTTGCTGTGCTTTTAGTGCTGGAATTATAACTACGAAAACGCTTACATTTAAAACAGGTTTGTACGTCCGCTGCCTAAGTCGACAAGAGTACTTTTTTAAAAATGCATTCAGTTATACTTTTGCAGCAGCTCACATTCGATATACCGTTAAGTTCCCAAAGTAGCGAACCTCTAAAAGTAGAGATAAAATGTCACAGGTGCTAGCAAGTCTCGAAAGTAGCGATCCCCGAAAACAACGACCCTCCGAAAAAAGAGGCCTTAAAACTTATTTCCCTTTTATAATATAATGGACATGATAGATATCCTGAATAAACGCTACACTGATCCGAGGTTTATTAATAATGATTATTTAACATTCCTGACCTTTTTTCAAAAAGTATTCCTTTCACATTTTTTGCGATTTTATTTCTTGAAGTGACCATGTGGAGTACACGTTTTAGCCATCCGAAAGAAACGACCCCCTGAAAGTAGCGAAAGCAGAAGGGTGCTAAATCCAACAGTAACGATGGTCGTTACTTTCAGGACTTAACGGTTTTAGAATTTTAATTTGACTCCGAGGCTTTAGTGAACGAAAATCGAAAATTTTCACGACTCCATTGTCTCACAATCCCCAGAAGAGACTTGAGCACAAAGAAAACCAAACAATATGCAGAAATGACCAGAAAGCCTCGGAGTAAATTACCGTGAAATGATCAATTACCTTATTCAAGTAAAAGTGAATTAATGAATCCTATTCTAGTTTAGAGGGTATGCACTAAAATCAGCCTCGAAGAAGACAAAAGCACATAAAAGCTAACTTAAATGTGCATATTCTTTTGCATCTCCTTCAGTGGCCGCTAGATCAATTATTTTTTTATCTTTTAGAGTCTCTGAAAAGTCATATTGCTCACTATAAATATAATCATTTTCCTTTCCTTTACAAAGTCATTAATGCAACAGCACCTCATATACAAAATAGAATAAAATAAACCAGCCATGGGATACGACCCAATCCTGACTACCTCCATGTTTTTATGGCTTACTTGCTTACACGCTATGATTCAATTTGTCTTTTGCCAGGGCAATAAAACAGTTGTCGAGAACTTGCCTTTGCTCCAAAAATTTCGCTTGAAAACTGATACCCCTCTCGTGCATCACTTCGTTTCGATATTGGATTTTGTGTGCGAGGCATGGGCTAGGCATTCCAAAGACCTGTAGTCCCGGGCCTACAAATGTTTGGTTTGATCACTCTACCGCTTGCAATAATTTATGCGTTGTTGGGGTGAGCTAAGAAGCTTAAGAGGTCAAAGTGTTGGTGAGGTCAGACTAGTCATGCGTGCAGTTTTCAGGATATTTGGAAATGAAATTTAGCCAGGCCTACAAACAGTCGAAAAGCTGGCTACGTCCCTGCGAGGTATCCCCTTCTCAAATAATGAATTTTCCTCAAGCTGCGCGTCTGACTCCCACACCCTCACATATTTGACGTTTTTTATCTTTTATAGCTCCTTATCCTCCACCCTCGATCTGAAGCCCTGTCGTGGACAGCAAAGGACTGTTGCAATTTCCATGAGTAAGTCTAAGATTATAGCAAAGAGAAAAACTTAGGGTATAACATGACTGAAGGTTAGAGCGAATTGAATTTTTCTGTCCAGTTTTGGTTTCCGCTGTGAGGTGAGGGATATTGAGAAGGAAGAAACGTTTTATTCTTTTTAGCTTCTATAATTCTCGCGTTGTTGTATTAAATTATTCGAAGCTTTTTCACGTTCCCTAATTAACTTTGTGTATGTGGTGAACTGACAAGCAGGATTAGGCCTTCACCGTCCTCACAGAGCGTTCCGATTTGTTTCGGCGTGAGTGGTTCTTCTAGGAGTAGGAGTAAAAGACCTCAGCCGACATTGCTGTAGGGGTCAAGGAGACGCACAAACCACCCCTACCAAGAAAAGGTGGTGATCCCATCAAAGGCGGATGTGTTTAAACTTAAAGCTTGTCTATATTTCTACTGTTACTTATTGTAATTTCATAACTTGTTTTGTACGTTGTTACCAAATTATTATATTGGTCCTGGTTGTTTAAATTGTATTGTTATTACTACTATAATCATAACTATAACAAAATTCTCAAATCTGATTGGTTCTCAACTGCCCTGATTTCAGCCTTAATAGGACAGTTTAATAGGACAGTACGCGTCATGCCTAAGTAATTGGACAGTACGCGCCATCACGGGCGCGCTTAAATGGCTTTTTTTTCATAGCTAGCGAAAAAATCTTGGAATTTCTTGTGTTTTGATTTAAAAAGAGCCCTATATATCACAAATTTTGTTAAAGTTATGATTAATTGGTAACAGAACTTTGTGTCGTCCAATTCGGTCTGTAATCATACTCGTGATTAAACAAATCGGACTCCCGCTACGCGGTCGTCCGATTTTGTTAATCACTCGTATGATTACAGACCGAATTGGACTCCACTCAGTCCTGTTACCATTACTTATTATTGTTGTTGTTGATGATGATGTTGTTGTTTTTGTTGTTATTATTAAGGGGTTGCAATTGGGAGCTAGAAAATTTTCTTAATAGGCCAAAAGTTTCTTGATAGGCTGGAGTAGCCTACAAAAATAAGGCATTTGAAAGAAGAGCCCATAATCACTCTCTCCTGACCTGAATTGATGTTTAAAATAAGGAAAGCATGGTACAATTATATACGGTTTGTTGAACAGAGTTTGGGCTTTCCTATGCGCATGTCTTCCAGTGACAGGAGCCCATAACATGGCCCCTTCTTCGATTCGCTTTCTTTGATTTTCACCAAAAGTAGCCGGGCTATAGTCATCTAAACATGAAGCTTTTTCTTTAAGTCTCCTTAAGTGGCAAGAAAACGAGAAAATGAGGAAAAGGGGACGCCTAATAAGGGAGGAAAAAACCGTCCACCCTTTTTGCCAGATTGGGGGAGGGTAAAGTTCACGCCCTCATCTCGCATCAAGGGAGAATTAACTACTTTTTCTCTTTCATCTTTAGGAAGCACTTTCATTATGAATAGACACAGCATAAAGAGGATTACTATAAAGCAATTTATGTATTATTTCGACTTTCTTGTCTTCGTTTTTCTTTTTTCTGTTTAACTTTATAAAATTAAAATGTGAATTAGGAAGATTTATTACATTTCAAACTAAGTCTTCAAAGTTGTGTGTAACAATAATAAGCTTCAACGCAATCAAATTATTTGTCGAATTAGTTTTGGGGTTTAAAAGTGACGAAGTAGTCTCGACGTTTGCCTTTCGCTTTGTCTCTTACTCTCTTCCTCTCTGTTTTTTATTTTGCTGGCAATTTACTGTGCTTTTTTAAAGGCAGAACTCGAGCCAGGAGTTCGAGCCACAACTTTAGTCATAAATTTCTATAAGCAAAAAATAAATGAATAAAAATAAAAATGATGGTTAAAACAAGGACTCGTCGTGTGACTGAAACATTTCCACTGAGTTTCTACCTTTTTGAATATGGAGTACTCTCTAAAAATGGAGTTTGCATCTGAAAATAGTCTTGAGTGACTGGATACTTTTAGTTGATTAAATGAGCCAGTTCAATGAGTTTTCCTGAATCCATGATATGGAGTTGACTGAGACTTATTTTGTGTTAATTTTCAAGTTTTCAGTTACGCCACGAGTCCTTTTTTGACCGTAATTTACATTGTTATATTTATCATGTTTATTTACTTTCTTTTTGGCTTATAGAAAAATTATCGAAGTCCTGACATATAAGAGTCGACACCCTCAGGGTATTACGTGGGATCATGTGAAGTGCGGGCGCAAGTCTATGATACATGATAATGGTGGTTTAATCTGTCTAATTGTGCCCAGGGATCCCGATCACTTTGTATGAATCTCCACTCGACCAAGAGATTTGATTGTGGGTTTATTATCTCGGACCTTTTATCTGGCGTTTTCAAAAGAGGGTTCAAAGTAAAAAGGACAATGACCAATTCGCCTTGTCGCTGCGACGTTTCTCCGCGACATGTTGCTGCAAGTTGTCGCCTAGTGTGTACCAACTGCGGCCTGTTACGAACCTCCGATCAGGCGATCGTTGGGTGCCCCTGACCATACCGGTGTTTTTCAATCACCTTAAAAGTGATTTTATTTTTGTCCGATCACTACAAAATGTTGAACAGGGTTTGACTATGAATTGAAGTTTGTCAAAATGCAGTGTTTAGTAAAATCGATATCACTATGACAACAATTATAAACAAAAAACTTTGAAATCGATAAAATCAGAATTTTGCGCGATCTAGACCTGCTACTGAACGTCCGTCACCAGGAACTTAAAGTGTAGTGTTTAGCAAATAACCTCTGTGAGAAGTAAAGAATTCTGCATGTTTGAATTCAAATAAAACACAAATATATTTCAAACCTTATATTTTCAAGAGCCGTGATAAAATGTTTAATAAAAAAGTTCTAAATAGCTCACATTAATCTTAAGTAGTCTAAGTAGAGTCAGAAGGCTGATTAATATCATATTTCAAAGTTAGGAAATTTTGGTGTATTTTCTTTCTTGCGATTCTGACCGGTTTTCTCACCACTTGTCTAAGTGCAACTTTATTCTAAATTTTGACTTTTAGCGCTTTTCTGTATTATCTCTAAAAAGGCTCAAGAGAATTTTTTTTAAACCTCATCACATAATCTTCATGACGTTTATAACAATATCTGAAACTTTCATTAAGATTGATTCACTTCAACACCTTGAAATTTCAAGAGAAACCTAGCCAAAACCTTATAAATAGAGAGAAAGCCGTTTTGTAACCGCGTGAGACGTGTTTCTTTTTAAGACGGTAGGTTGCGTGATTGATCCTGACATTCCGAGATCGAACGTTTCTTGTGTTTTGTTTGCTTGGCTGAAGTTAACAGTTGGTGGAGAAGCGCGAGCTCGAATCCTGGCAGTCGAGTTTGTGTGCTTTTTCTCTTTCTTTCTTTTATTTTTCTTTCCTTTCAACTTTTTAGCATTTTTTCTCCTTTGCCTTAACCTTTATTAAGTTAGTAAAGCCGGTGAGGCATCACACCAACTGTTAAAAAAAGACATATTAATGAGTTGGCTAGTTCGATCAAACGCACGCACTCACACAATCAAGGGAGGTGCGAAGAGACGCGAAAAGGCAGAAAGGAGACAGAGAGCAGTTCGCCGTTTCACTCGAGGCGTTCATTTAGTCTCGAAAATGATCTGTTTCGTTCCGTATTAATAATCCCTAGAATTGTAGCGTTCAGCGAGCGTTTTTTTCAATCCTCTAGTGTTACGATAAAGAATGACGCTTGGTTTGAGTTTAGCCAAGTAGCACAGGTTATATACCCCTAAAAACCCAGACAGATTTTCAACACAGTGCGTCTGCACAAATTTACGAAGCTTATTTCTTTATGACATTTGGGACTACCGAGTCTGCCATTTCCTAACACCCTCGTTTCCAGGGCCCTATCTCTTCCTTTTTTCTATTTTACGTCGTCCGCCGTTTCAATGTTTTTCTACGTAATGAGGAGATTAAAAACTCAATAGAAGACTGTTTAAACGTGACATGTTTTCGTACTTTCACTGCGCTTCAGTGGAAAAGAGATGTGAGTAAAGAACCGTTTCAGTTTATTTTGGAAACGAGTTATCGATGACTTATCAAGTATTGGTGTATCAGCTGTGTTTCAATTTTAGCCTTGCTTTAATAACAGTAATAAATGCAAAGCGAGTGCTCCTTCAAAGAGACGCGCGCATGCTTTCCTGTTTAATTTATTTCTTTGCGCTATTTTCCATAAATTATATTCCGCATAATTATGTCATTCCGCAAGCCATGCCTCATGCCATTTAGCCTGAGATCATGCCCTCTCCCTATTATCCCTTTATGTCCCTTGAAAAAAAAACGCCTGATCGCAGGTTACATGCCATTCCACAAGCTCATTTCGCCTTTTACCCCCACCGGTGGGTCGTGGGTAGCTGGTAGACCTTAAAAAACGCGAAGGGTATAAGGGATCTTGAATACGTCCTTCAGGTTAGTTTCTGGGCAGGGGGTGGGGTAGGATAGCTATTAGCTATAAGTGGGTGGACATCCAAAGTATCAAGTAAGAAAGGGAAGGATCATTCATAAAAAAGTAAGCATGCCGAGTAGGTGAAACCAGTGGTAGCGTCGCCAATTGTCGGCTGTTTTCTCAGGCTAAGTAGCATAAGGAAAAATTACTATACTGATCTCCTATTATTAACATCAAGGAAAAAATCTGTTAGGAAGAAGGAGTAATCTAACACTTGTAAGCTCGGAAAAATTCCAATCTCTGGGTGAGAATCGAACTAACCACCCTCCCAGTTCTAGTACGGATGCCCTAACCACTAATCTACTGGAGGCTCTATGGCGAGAAGGGTTGAAAATCAATTTTTATTACACCAGTCAAACAGGACCTGTATAACGAGGACTTATATACTGGACATTTCCAAGAAAATAAAATGGAAGGGAAACGTAACGAAAGGAAAATCCATCCCCCCTCCATTACTTTTAAAAAAGAACAAACAAACAAACAGAAAAAGCAAAAACAAAACAAAACAAATCCTTGGTCTCGATTTCTAATGTCGGTGATCAACTCTTGCTCGGCCTCGTTCTCAATCTTTCTCAAACTTCCGCTGGTCTTCAACAACGTTCTGATCTTCCGCGCTGACGTTCTGATCTTCCGTTTTAACTTGTTTCTTCAACAACGTGCATGCGTGATTTTCTTCAAATCAGAAAAGGTAAGTGATTTTACAGTATGCGTGATTTTGTATATTGGTAGTTTTTATCTCGTGCAAAAAATCAGCGTTGCTTGTATTTAATTTCAACGAATACCATCAACGTCGCTTTTTGTCAATTCAGTAAGTGTTCTCGAAAACAATAAAACAGATTGTTAGATTTCAACAAGTAGTGTTAACAGAGCAAAAATTTGCTTAATTATGGTTCAAACAAGATTGAGAGAACTGAGTTATTGATTTTGAAAGAACCTCGTAGACTGTTTCCCAAGGAAAATTTTATAGCTTTCACATAGTCATGAAGTGGCAGGAATTTTTCCTGAATGTGAGACTTGTTTTGATTTGGTTCTATCTTCGATTCTCATTACAAAGATGGTTGTTAACGGTAGCAAGTTTCACTTTCTTGTCTTCGTTTTTCTTTTTTCTGTTTAACTTTATAAAATTAAAATGTGAATTAGGAAGATTTATTACATTTCAAACTAAGTCTTCAAAGTTGTGTGTAACAATAATAAGCTTCAACGCAATCAAATTATTTGTCGAATTAGTTTTGGGGTTTAAAAGTGACGTAGTAGTCTCGACGTTTGCCTTTCGCTTTGTCTCTTACTCTCTTCCTCTCTGTTTTTTATTTTGCTGGCAATTTACTGTGCTTTTTTAAAGGCAGAACTCGAGCCAGGAGTTCGAGCCACAACTTTAGTCATAAATTTCTATAAGCAAAAAATAAATGAATAAAAATAAAAATGATGGTTAGAAAAAGGACTCGTCGTGTGACTGAAACATTTCCACTGAGTTTCTACCTTTTTGAATATGGAGTACTCTCTAAAAATGGAGTTTGCATCTGAAAATAGTCTTGAGTGACTGGATACTTTTAGTTGATTAAATGAGCCAGTTCAATGAGTTTTCCTGAATCCATGATATGGAGTTGACTGAGACTTATTTTGTGTTAATTTTCAAGTTTTCAGTTACGCCACGAGTCCTTTTTTGACCGTAATTTACATTGTTATATTTATCATGTTTATTTACTTTCTTTTTGGCTTATAGAAAAATTATCGAAGTCCTGACATATAAGAGTCGACACCCTCAGGGTATTACGTGGGATCATGTGAAGTGCGGGCGCAAGTCTATGATACATGATAATGGTGGTTTAATCTGTCTAATTGTGCCCAGGGATCCCGATCACTTTGTATGAATCTCCACTCGACCAAGAGATTTGATTGTGGGTTTATTATCTCGGACCTTTTATCTGGCGTTTTCAAAAGAGGGTTCAAAGTAAAAAGGACAATGACCAATTCGCCTTGTCGCTGCGACGTTTCTCCGCGACATGTTGCTGCAAGTTGTCGCCTAGTGTGTACCAACTGCGGCCTGTTACGAACCTCCGATCAGGCGATCGTTGGGTGCCCCTGACCATACCGGTGTTTTTCAATCACCTTAAAAGTGATTTTATTTTTGTCCGATCACTACAAAATGTTGAACAGGGTTTGACTATGAATTGAAGTTTGTCAAAATGCAGTGTTTAGTAAAATCGATATCACTATGACAACAATTATAAACAAAAAACTTTGAAATCGATAAAATCAGAATTTTGCGCGATCTAGACCTGCTACTGAACGTCCGTCACCAGGAACTTAAAGTGTAGTGTTTAGCAAATAACCTCTGTGAGAAGTAAAGAATTCTGCATGTTTGAATT